GTGATCATCTACCAGGTTAAAGGTGGTGGCAGAAACGTGTTAGCCTCCTGCTTTCCCCGATAGTTCATCATAATGATGTAAATTTGAAATTATTTTCCTTGCAAAACTACAAGGTAGGGTAGTACATAAAATGTTTTATGTTACCTCAAGAAACTTTACAAGTTATTTTCATCGAAATAATGAGTGGATGTGATATGATCTTCACAGAACTAATGAATATATATTTCTAAAAACCAAATTGTATTTCACATCATGTACATTTATGTTACTCAGTTTTTGTTTCTGTGTTACCGATGTATTTTTATGAGATATAATTTTCACATCTAATAATCATACGTTTTTATTGATTTCATTTTCTTTATATTTATTACAAACACGTGACACAGTGATGTATTTAGTGGAAAGATCAATCACACACACACACATATATATATATATATATATATATATATATATATATATATATATTGTTACGTCAGACGCTGTAATTCCCTGACATATAGAGAAATATTCGGTAAAATTTCCTTCACAAAATTATTATTCCGCCACAGGTGGGCGACTTGGAAGCACGACAAAAGGGATGGGTGCATTAAAACGCGCTCAATTATTTCAGTCTTCCCAAGAGAGTTAGTAAGACAGAGGAGGAAATTCTGTGGATTGCTGTTTCTGTTCTTTTTTTGTTCTTCGTTGAACTATCTGAAAAATATATGCGCTTAAGTTCAATTCCCAACTAGGACCAAGTTTCGCACACCGACGTATAGGTCGGCGCCGGATCTCAAGTTCCAGTGAGGGAGGAACTCCGCGATATCCTGGCTACATTTAAGGGACTTATAACTTCAGTAGCTTACTTCTATAGCTTCACCATAATATAAGAGGATGACGATAGTACAAAGGTCAAAAGATAACAAAATAATTTGTTGAGTGTTAAGTGACCCACTGATCCCTACGCCATCGACTGTCAGTGAGGTTCTATCCTCCCGTCACGTGTCCGACTAGCGATTGGTGCGTCGGGCGCAATGACAACGGACAGCGCCCCCTGCGCCAACTGGCGCGCGTATGCATATTTCAAACGGCAATCTTCCGATTTGAAATGCGATGTTTTTTGAGCGTTGCTGTCCCGATGGCGCGGTTGATAACGGAGCGGGGTCTGTTCCGCCTCCCCTGCAGGCCGCGGTATCACCGATTTGATCAACGTTCGCCGCCCGCCGTCCGGCGCACGTCGCCCACTGCCTGCCTCCCACTGCCACAGTTGCCATACCCTGACGCACACCCGAACACACACACACTCACACCCGCCCGAACACACTCACATGCCCGCACACACACACACCCAAAAAATCACACCCCCAAACACACTCAAACACACACACTCAAACACACTCACTCAAACACACATTCAAACACACTCAAACACACATATTCAAACACACACACACTCAAACACACACACACAAACACACACACAAACACACACACACTCAAACACACACACACTCAAACACACACACACACTCAAACACACACAGACACACCGTCCGTCCCCCCACCATCCCGCACGCCCGGCCACCAGCTCGGCGCCCAGCACCTGCCATCGTATGCCCGCCATCGCCCACCATCGCTCCGTCTGGTCCCGTCTGCGTTCCGGCGCCCGGCGCTCCATCGCGGCACCGAGTGCTTCTGTTATCTGCGCGCGCGTCGCGGCTTTTGCCGGCCGGCGCGTTGTGTGCGCGGGCCCGTGCCCATTGAAGCGGCCGCGCCGGATAAGCCCGGGTGGCCCTTGTTTCGGTTGCGCGAGGTTCGGGATTCGAATGCTGCCGCACTACGGCTCTTGAATTTCAGTGCCGACGCCACTTCTCAAATGAGGTTGTAACAACACCCTTTGGTTCGAGTTGGTGATCAGTTCCACCCATTAGGCGGGCGCCCATTCGGATCGTTTGACGAAAATAGAATTTCTAAAGCATTTCGGAAACTAAAACATTTTTTGCAGGTGTACACTTCCTCCTCTAGACAATTTGTTTTATTTCAACTCTCGCCAGTATCAGGAATATGATATTCAATTGAAATACTGTGTTCCAAATAGAACTCTACGTTGCTTCGATTGTGAATATTACAAGGAAGATGAAATATTGGAAATTCTATGCTACTTCTTGTATTATATTTTGAAAACAAATTCACATCCCTCTAACGTCGCTGCACGAGTCTGAAACATTGCATTTTTTGCATAACATATGTGTAAATCAATGAAAATTGTTTTAAATGATACATTTAAATACCCACATCTAAACGTGTTTTTACATAACTCACATCTAAATCTGTCACTTTTTAGTGATTATACGATCGTGCCGGAGATGTACGCCGTGAATGAATGAAAATTGTAAATTACAATCAGCCAACTTTCAGTGGTATGTACAAACGTTTCCTACGCACAGTTCGTACGTAAACGACATGTTTGCAAATACATTGGAATTTCGCAACGTATGTTGCATCGTCGCAACAATGTACGATTAGGCTGAGATGGGTAATGCTAACACTGCACTATGAGTAGCAAAAAATAATGCGGAGCTACTTTGATTTGTTCAATTTGCAAAAACAAATCTCTTCCTTCCTTCTAGGCTATACTACCGAAACATTCTTTGTGATCATTTCCTTCCTATGTATTTTGCCGTTCTTTGATTTTCAACGATATTACCATTCTTATTCTTAATGATTCCGCTTGTGTATGAAGTTGCATACTAGTTCCGTATTCCGTTTCAAATAATTAATACATCAAAGTTACTCTGAAATGAGTTTTTCTCTGTTAATGTTCACATTTGTAACAACGTTTTTATACTCTATACATTTTTATAAACTACTTTCAATGAACAATTGTAGTATTAAACGTTTTTCCCCGGATGTGATTCCTGAATTTGGGTCTGCCTTGAATCTGTTCCTTTAACATTTTGCTTCACAAAGCAACTAACTTCATATATATTATTTTAATTATTATGTATAATTCAGTGATTCAGATACCCGGCAGTATATGTATTTTAATTAAAAATCTGTACTGAAGAGTTATTGAGAATTAAGATGAATCGATATAAGTTACCTCACATGAGATTTATTTTAATACAAATTGTAACTAATGTATAGTAATAATGTTTATGTTAACGAGAATCAATTCTTAACTGGCTTCTTTTTTAATCTCATATATCCTTTGTCTTGGAGAAACCAGTGGTAACCCTGTAATTCGTTACGCTTACGATCGAGAGGGTCCGAGAGCATGAAAATGGTCGGGTGATCAGTCTTTAAAGGGATCTTACGAGCCATTTTCTGGATATGTGTTCGAGAAATAAGTGAACTAGCAGAAACATTTCTCGGTTTATATTAAATTTAATTTAAATATTGTGTAACGTATCATAGTATATATATATATATATGCATACATACATACATATATATATATATATATATATATATATATATATATATATATATATACACATATACATACATACATATAAAACATATGAAGCACAAATACTAATCACAATTACGCCGATGCATAACAAAATGCAAGTCATCAATAGGGAGTTTTGAGCCAATGAACAGTATTTTTATCAGCCAAATGTTTTCCCCTTACTTTGAGTTTATCAGTTTTCTAAATGTAAATATTTTGTCCTTAGATGACAGTGGATTTCTAAAGCCACGTCTTTAATTGGTAGTAACCCTATTATTACTATAAAATAATTTGTTGCGACTTAAAATGTCATGCGAAGGTTGACTCATACATCTTACAGCAGGACAATTCAAATTGAATAAACTGAAAACGGATTGATGCAGATAATTAAATATTTTTTAGCAAATTTCTTTTGTGTTTCCTCCGCTGCTTCCTCAAAGGTATTAAATTGCAAACTAAATCGTAGCCTGTATTTAGTATTCATTTATTTATAGCATATATGGAAAAAATATATTGTGTATGTGTTTGGATCAGTTTGCTTTCTTGCTTATTTCTTTTATAACGTGTGATTACAATGCCTGTTGAAATATCAGGGACACCTCATTTATAGATTACATTCATTAATTATTTTGCCAGAAAAAAGTGTGTCGGTGTTTCAGTACTTGAGAAATTTACGGTGTTCATAAGTTAGTATTATCAACATAAATATAATTTACAAAAACGTTCAGTAACTATCTATTAAATTTAAAAAAAGGTTTAAAACCACAATGGAAATAGAAATATTTAAAAATAACAATCTGAGAGATAATGAATACAATATAATGATAACAAAAAAAATTACAGAGCAGAAGTTCAGTAACCTTCTCGCCTAGGGGTTCCCAGATTCGACGCTTATTTATGGTCGTCGATCTCGTCCACTCAGGGGACTGGTTGTGGAAAGACACCAAGTTGGTTTGCAGTGCAAATTCGAATTTTATCCAACGTCAAAACTGCCAAAACTTAATATTTATAGTATATTTCATTTATTTTCTCTGAACAAATGTGACAAAAGAGAAACGCAAGCAAAGACATCACCCAAAATCTGACACTGTGATACAATAATATAAATTACTGATTTCTGATTCTCTATCATAAATAATTTACCCTTTATTTCTTTCATTCTCATAAAAAGGTATTCAGATCCAACTTCCAACACACAAGTGACCAACAGCAAAGAAATACTTTGTCTCCGGCGACTTCTAGTGCTCAGTTGCCACCCTGCGCGGCTGGGGTTCTCATTCAGGAGCCAAGAGGCGACACGAAGGATTTCACGCCTTTGAACCGTCTCGAGCGTGGCGCTTGGGCGACCAACTTTTCCAGTTCCCAACTGCTCCTGCGAGAGCGCCCCCGACCGGCCAGCCGGCCCCCCGCCCCCTTCGCTGACCGGCTCTTGGGAAGGCCCCGGGTCACGCGCCCGCGCCCTCCTCCCAATCCGATGTTTTCATTTGCCGCGATTTCTCTTGTGTAGCCTTAACCAGAAGAGTGCCTTGGACTAGGGATAACACTTAGAGTTCCCGTTTGTTAGAGCTGTGGCGCTAGTCTTGCGCCCTTCGGCTCTCGACGAGGACGTAATGAAGGAGGCGTCCGCGACGGCGGCGGCAGCGGCGGCGGCGGCGCCTGCTGGAGGGGAATAACGCGTGAAGCTGAAAGAAGAGGGGCGTCACTTAATGGCCCTTGTGCGGCTAATGGAGAACGTGAGGCGAATTGAGCGGGCGGCGGGGG